GATCGTTCCTGCCAGGGGTGGTGAAAAATCTTTTGTGTCTCCGGGTTTTTCATGGGGAATGTTGGCGGCTTGCTTTTTGGCAATTCTGGTCTTTGGCGACGCATCGTCGTAAGCGCCGCCGTTTGGCCTGGGGGGGGGGGCACCGCATGTTATCCGCAGCATTTCTTGGAAGGGACGGAATACTTTGCGGCAAATGCAACAACCACACGCGTCGTGGCCTCCGCGGGACAGATGGGACGAAACGATGCATTGCTGCTGCTACGGCTGCTTCTGCCGAGCCAACTATATCCTCGTTCTATTGATGGCATTCCGGCGCACACAGCAACAGGTCAAATGTGTAGTGCTGGCGGTCTTCAAAACACCGTGTACCAGTAGATGAAATGAATTGCCGTTGTTGCTGTTGCTGCTGCTGCTGTTCCAGCCAACTCAGTCCTCTTATTCTTGATGGCATCCCCGAGCACACAGGTACTTGTGATGCATGCTGCCGTATGCTACATAATGCTGTAGCTGGCAGTCCTTGTAAAACACTACACCAGTTTGTACAAAAAGCATTTGCTGCTGTGCATGGCAATTTAACAGGGAGAACCCGGGATCTGACGTTTCTATGAAAAGACCACGCCAGTTGCCTTCAAAGAAGCTGTACGGATACAGAGTGGCAACGTCGGTGTGTGTGCTTGCTACTGCCTACAATGTACGAGGCGGGTTCACCATCATGTGTTTTACCACAAACACGCTGCTGGCGGGAGGCGTGAACCCTCGAATATACTTGGCATGCAAATGAGGCACACCACCGGGATGCGAAGCACCTCGTGTCAACAGCGAAGTCACCAGCAACGTGTGGAATGCACCATGCCCTAAGGACCTCCAGGTGCGATGGCTTTTGTACGATCTAAGCGCCAATGGATGCGAGATGCGAGATGCGAGAGAGCGGCACTGCACCACGAATTTTGGATGCGGGCAAAGAGATGAGGGTGCCATCTGGTTCCCTCTTACACACGCCGTCTTTGTGCAGTCCGGGAGAAATCCACCCCTCCAAACTCTCGGAGTACGTCTCTCCTCACCTCTGCTGCTCGCCTTGCTTCTTCACCACCGCCACTGCTGTCAAGGCCGTCGTCTGTGTGTGGGCAAGCCGGAGGCAGGGCTGGGGCCTTGCCTTGGGGGGCCGCACAGCCAAAAGGAAAGTGTTCGGGTCCCCCGTACCAACACCGCCACCAAGACTGGGAACGCCCCAAACGGGCGGATTTTGCGGAGAGCCGCAACAAGTGCACACGCCTCAGCGTGGAAAACAAGACGCTTCCTCGCGATTGTGCTCACGGCACCTAGGTCCTGCCCACTTGAGTTGTTCGTGAAGTTCTCTGGCAGAGGATATCCCTCCGAAACGCTGAACGCGGCGAAAAATTAGAATCGTTCTTTCAAGGAAGTCGGAGATCTCTCGATCTCTCGCTCTCTCTCTCTCTCGCACACACACGTTTGGAGGGCCGCCTTCTGTGGAAGTAGCACTAGCGGGCAGGCAGAGGGATGAGCAGCGCGGCGAGCAAGAAAGCGGATCGCCTGGAGAGGAAGCTGCAAGTCCAGCTGAGGGCGTGCCAGAAGGAGCCCGGCAACAAGCGCTGCGCCGATTGCACAGAGAGAGTGAGTGAGCAGCTCGCGACGAGCTGCGGCGGACCCGAGTACCCAGACACGACCGGCCGAGAGCTTTGCCAGAGTGCATTACATATGCATACATAGGACAACACACGATTTAGGCAGAGAGAGAGGAGTGGCCAGGAGGGTGGGGACCATGACAAAAACAATTGAATCTCTTCAGGAGTCTCCCTTTACTGGTGCCCCTTGAAAGGTTCGCACCCTTCACCAAGTAGAAGTTTTTGTTCGGAAGTCTCCCTGTAGTATGCGTACATCACGTCCTTGTGACTCGTCCCCTCCGCCTCCGCCGTTGTGTGGCCATCGGGAATATGCTCAACTGCTGTACATGCCAGTATTGTTTGTCCAGTTGCAACCATCTCTCCTCCGACATGCAGCCAGCAGACAAGTAATTCAGTTTGTCGGCGGGAGTAACTAACGAGTTTTGTGTTGGCCTTGAAAGAGAATGACGACAGCAATGGCTTGTCTGCTGCTGTACACTCCTTCTCCACACCCATGAAGCAAGCTGCGAGACGTGGTTGTTGCTTTCTCCATCAAGCGCCGCAGAACTTCTCGGCACATCATTTCGGCTGTTCTTTCCCCTCCAGGGGTTCCATCCGGCACACACACACGCAACTCTTGGCGTCTCTTGTCGCGTGTGCATGTTGTACAAATGGCCGCCAGCAGCATGTTGTAAGTAATACCGTAGCTTTTTTCTCCCGCCACGACGTATTATCTCCTCGCGCGAACCTCTTGGCGCAACTCGTGACGCTGGATGGTTTGTCTCCCCAAGGCAACACATCATGCGGACACGAAGCGTTCATAGTGCATATACTTTTCCATGGCTAGATGTACATTCCAACAAACATGGAGACGGACACGGCACCCTTATGTATGGGTCCCTTCACTCACGGCGACCCCATGTTTCGTTCGATGCGCTGTTCGCCGTTTGTCCTTGGTCATTGCGGACGCTCCGGGGGACCTTTGACTGCTGCAGCTGCCGCAATGGATCATCTCCGACTTCAACACCTTCGTGTGCACGGCCTGTAGCGGCATCCACCGCGAGTTCTCCCACCGCGTCAAGTCCATCTCCCTCGCCACTTTCTCCGAGGAGGAGGTGGCCGCCGTCAAGGCCGGCGGCAACGAGACGAGCAACAAGCTCTACATGGCCAGGTACCTCCCTTGCACGTGTGTGTATTTGAGTTCGGTTTTTATTCAATTGCCGTCGAACCGCCTGACTTGTTGATGGCGTTCAATTTTAATAGCCGGACAAGAAACGCGCTTGTCTGTGTGTGTCCGATGGGAATGTCGTTAACGGCAAGGGCGATCGATTTCCCTCGTTTTCTGGGGCTGGGATATCCCCGTGCACAATCATTCGCAATCCGTGCACCACGGCGCACTCCGCCGGAACGCCATCTATAGTACCAGCCGCGCGCGCTTCCGCGGCAAACCTCCCCCACCCCCCCAAACGCACACACGGCGAATTATCTACCTGTGGGCAGGTACAGGCCAGGGCACGACCTCCCCGAGCCGGAGGGCGGGCGCGCCGCGAAGCACCGCGAGTTCATCCGCACCAAGTACGTGGACAAGCGGTGGTACGGCACTCCGGAAGACCTCGCAAACGACCGGCAGCGCGAGGCCGAGCGAGAAGAGTCCAGGGCCAAGCGGGACGCGGAGCGCGGCAGCAGTAGTAGCGGCAACAGTAGCAGCAAGAGACAGCAGCCGCGCGCCGCCCCTGCCGCTCGGCCGCGGAAGGCGAGCGGGGACCGAGGGCTGCGAAAAGTGGAGCCGGCAGCGGCAGCGGTTAAGGCCCCTCCGGTTCCTGCGAAGCAGGTAGACTTGCTGGACTTTTTGTCGGACGACCCCGCGCCACCACCAGCGGCCCCGGCGCAGCCTGCGGCACCGGCGCCGGCGCCGGCGCAAGCCCAGCCCTGGGACGCGTTCGGTGCACCCACTCCAACGCCGCCGGCCGCTGCTGCTCCGGCGGCGGCAGGAACGGCGGCAGGGTTTGCCTCGTGGGCGGCGTTTGGCGATGAACCGGCGGTGCCGCAGACGGCACCGCCGCCGCCGCTACCGCAGCAGCAACAGCAGCAGCAACCGGTCGGGTTTGGGGCCTCTTTCCCGGCTGCCCCTCATTTCGGTGGTAGAAAAGAGTCTGAGACAGATTAGCAATGGATTAATCATAGCGTCACCTGTATTTTCAATGTGGTACGCGTATGCGAAAAAAAAGAAGACGACTCTATAAAAGGAGGACCCCGAACTAATAATAATCTGGTCGTTCCAATGAGATCCTTTTGTCGAAACTGGTTTTCGCCCCACAGCGAGAGATAATCTGCTCAAACAACTGTGAAAA